CTGGTAAGAGGACAATTGGGAGAGGGGGTGAGAACACTCGCCTTCACCAATTAAAACAAGGTTAGAACTCAGAGAAGCTAGCACCGCTAGCTCAGCTGGTAAGAGGACAATTGGGAGAGGGGGTGAGAACACTCGCCTTCACCAATTAAAACAAAGTGAAAACTCAGAGAGGCTAGCACCGCTAGCTCAGCTGGTAAGAGGACAATTGGGAGAGGGGGTGAAAACACTCGCCTTCACCAAATAAAACAAGGCCAGGAACTCAGCTGGCTACGTAATAAACAAACTTCGGAGCACGGTCCAACCGACCACGCGGTTGGAGGCCTCCAGTAAACAAGAGCGGAGCGAACGCTACCGCTAACCAACAGCAAAATATAAGCAAAAAACCACTACTTACCAGTGTTAAATCACGCACATAGTAGTCATAAACAACGTCGGAGCACAGTCCAGCCGACCACGCGGTTGGAGGTCTCCTAACAAGCGTGAGCGGAGCGAACGCTACCGCTAACCAACGGCGAAATATAAGGAAAACTACTCACCGGTGTTGAATCACACACATAGTAGTCAGACGCTGTAATTTGGGAGAGGCGGAAACCGCCGTAGTTCCCAACGAAACAGCAGAAATACCTTTGAACAGGGTTAAACCGTCGCAGCCCTAGGAGGGCGAACACGCTACTCCCGCAGACGGGCAGTCGGGCTTCCGACGACGGTAAAAAGTTCAGAAAAGGTCCAAAGGGCTGAAGCCCTGAATTGAACCGCGCGCGAGAAGAAAATAGGAGCAGAGCAGCGGATGACGTCGGGCTATATAGCCTCTGATTGGTCATCCGTGTCACACCTGTGACTCCGTTGGTATTATTACTCGAATCAGCGCATGCGCGAAGGGAACATTCAGTGCTTTCAGCACCGCCCTCTGGCGGTCAGGAGGGATGAAATAGAACAATTAAAGACCTGAAATATTTCAGTTGGTGTGCAATGAATCTGAAATATATGAAAGTTTCATTTTTATCATTACATTATGGAAAATAATGACCTTTATCACAATATGCAAATTTTTTGAGAAGGACCTGTATATAGTTTAATTTTCCTTAATTAGTAATGAGTTGCTTTACTGAAGTAACTCCAGCTGAGAATAAACAAATGTTTGCTCGTTCTTCTGTTTTCAGAATCAAGACCACTACGCTGTCCTCGGGCTGCCTCACCTGAGATACAAAGCAACGCAAAGACAGATCAAAGCTGCTCGTAAGTGTTTCTTCCTTGTGCTGCCGTGGGTCGGATCCCCGACCAGCCCAAAGCTTAGCTAAACTTCTGCTGTTGTTCTGCAGACAAAGTGATCGTGCTGAAGCACCATCCAGACAAAAGGAAAGCTGCAGGAGAACAGATTGTTGAAGGAGACAACGACTACTTCACCTGCATAACGAAAGGTTTGTAACTTCTTCATGGATGACAGATGTTTCCTAATGGCAGCTCTGAGTTCCTTTAGCTGATTGCTGCTGTTTGGACCTTAGCGATCGAGATCCTGTCGGACCCCGTGAAGAGGCGAGCCTTTGACAGTGTCGACCCCACCTTCGACAACGCCGTGCCTTCCAAGAGCGAAGGCAAAGAACATTTTTTCAAGGTCTTCTCTCCTGTTTTTGAGAGAAATGCCAGATGGTCTTCCAAAAAGTCCGGGCCCAGTCTGGGATCCTTAGAGTCATCTTTTGAAGAGGTGGACAGTTTTTACACTTTTTGGTGAGTGAAAATGTTTTTAGCTGTTGTTCTGCTGTTAGCTTTGAGTTTAGTGACGTGACTGTTGAAATTAATGCAAAGATAAAACTTGTATCTTTTTACTGTTAAAAGGTACAACTTTGACTCTTGGAGGGAATTCTCTTACCTGGACGAAGAGGAAAAGGAAAAAGCCGAATGGTAAGATGTTCTTTATTGGTTGTAGGATGACACACAACGTTGTGACTGTTTACACCAGCATTGTGGAAAAGCTTTGCAAACAGGTCTTCAACAACAGATCTCCATGCTCCCATGTGTCCTCTAATAAAGTCGTTCTTGCGTTGCTTTGGTATAGAGCGCTTGAAAGAGAAGCTTCTCTTACTCAGAATGTCTCCATCATATTGCTCCTGCCTCCGATATACATTCAAGTCAATAAAGATACAATGCGCAGTTTCAAATAATGCATGTTGTGCTTGATACCCAACACTAGAGGGCGCACTGGTCAGGTGACCTTGTGATGCACTGGACCTATGTCGGCCAGTACCAAAACAGTCAAACATCTGCACTCACTGGTCAAACTAAATAACTCAGAGGAAGGGCTGGCTTTCAGAAGTGTCCAAAATTACTAGAGAAATTACATTTCCTGCAAACATGCAGTGTGAGCGCTTATTGCTGAAGAACTTGCTGAAATTAGCTAAAATCATGCTGAAATGTAGCTGAAACACAAGAACAAGCCTAAGTTAGCAGAAGAAAGAAAGAGCAAATATTTGCTGAATTAGGTTTAAATAAGCAGAAATGTGCACAAAAATTAGGAAATTAGTTAAAAAAGCTGAAATTAACCACAAAAAACCCTAGCTGAAAAGTAGCTGAAAATGCAGAAAGAAGCTTAAACTACCAGAAGGAAGTGTAAAGAGCTGAAATTAGCTCCAAAAATTTGGAACTAGCTGAAAAAGCTAGAAGCACAAAACAGCTGAAGGTAGCTGTAAAAAAGTGTAAATTAGCAGAAGGAAGCTGAAAGAAGCTGAAGCAGAACAAAATATGAAAGGAGCAGTAAAAGGTTGTAAACACATCTAAAGATTTGAAGGATGTAAAATGAGCTCGATTCATTTTCTATGAGGAAAAAATGGCAGAAAATGTAAAATATTTCAAAAAGCTAAAGTTGCACCAATACCAAAAGTCATAGCAGGATGGTACTAAAAGAGCTGAACGTTCTATGTCATATAGGCTTCGCCCTTTAAGGCTGTCGCTGATGGGTTTATCCCGTTATGCGCAAGCATCATACTGAAAAAATTAGTCCACGCCCACCTGCTGTGTGGGCCCCACCCGATCCGTATAAATTACGTTAAGAGCGGGTAATCTGCTCCCAGTTTTTCTTCAGCAAGCATAATAAATCAAGAATAAACTGACCTTTTTCGTCGAGATGTCCAGCTCCAGCACCATCCGTTTGTGTCCCTCGTGCAAGACCGGCTACTTGCTTAGCTTCGACCGGCACGACACCTGCGAGGGATGCCTGGGTCCCCGCCACGTCGCTCGCGCTTCCTCCTGCCGCCTCTGTGACGAGCTTCCACCGGAGGAAAGGCAGAGGAGAGCAGCCTTGTTTAAGGCTACCATCGAGGACTGCCTGTCCGTGGCGGGAGACTGTTCGCTGGACGACGCCATGGATTTCTTCGACGCCGGCTCTCGGAGTGAATCGGATGATTCCTCTGGGACCGGTGACGCTAGCAGCAGCCCCGACGCTCGTTCCCTCCCGGGGAGCGGAGTGTTGGAAAGAGGGAGGCCGAGCGGATGCTCGACTCCCCCGGGGTTTCCCGCCTCAGCGACCACATCGCTCCCTGCCGTGGGCGCGCTCCTCTCGGAGCTGCCCGCCATTATCCGGGAGGCTGCTAGCGTTAAGGGGCTCTCCGTCCCCTCACCCCCCCCCGCTCAGATCGGATGATCTTGCGGGAAGGTTTGGCTCCACGCCGGCTCGCCGTCCTGATCCCATTTGGCCTCGTTTTCCTGCGGTGACAGCGTACTGGAACGAGGCCGCAGCCGGTCCTGGTAGGTTAAGGGCGCCCGTCTCCACTTACGCCCCCATCACCAGAGTGGAGGGGTTCACCGAGCGGGGTTTTCCCTCGGTACCCCCCCTTGAGCCAAGCCTCGCGGAAGCCTTCGGAGCGAAGATGTCCAGGCTGGAGAAGCGTCCCGTCCCTCCGGGGAAACACGACCAGGTGGCGACCGCGCTCTCCAACAGAGCCCACCAGTGTGCTTTTCAGGCGGCCGCGGCTAACAACAACGTGGCGCTGTTAGCATTTAGCATGTCGAAGAGGCTAGAGGCCTCAGGCCTGCCGGAGGAGACGAAGAGCTCCCTGTGTAAATCGGCAGACGCCGTCCTCAACATGTGCGCCGCTTCCACGGTTTGCCTGTCGAGGATTGCTTCATGGATGACGGTAATCCAACGCTCCATCTGGCTCCGTCACTCCCCATTGCTGCCGGAAAAGCTGCACAAGGACCTCATGGAGGGCCCCATCTCATCGGACGCGCTGTTCGGAAGCAGCTTGAAGACCATGCTGGCGAATTCCAAGCAGTCGGAGGAGATGTCGGAAGCGGTACGTCATCTCATCAAGCCGCGCGGCCCATCCCGTCCCCCAGCTCGCTGGAAGGATCGTCGAGAGCAGAGGCAGAAGCACCGACGCTCCACGGCAGCAGCAGCTTCGTCTCGCCCAGCTCCACCACCAGCCCCGCCCGCCAGAGACCACCCCTCCTCAGCCCGGCAGCCTGCACTCCAGCGCTTCCCCAGAGATCGCCTGCAGACGGCGCTCGGGTCAAACAAACCGCAGAGCTCACGAGGGAGAAGGTTTAAGAAATGACGGTCTGCGGGGGATGTGTGTATGAACGAAACAGGAAGTGAAATAAATGATTTTTCAAAAATCAGAATGCCTGTTTTTAGCCAGTCTGTAAGTTCGGATGAGCTCACAGCCGCTACACACACATCCTCCACACAGAGAGAGCCGGTGGCCTTAAATAAAAGTTTTTTAAACCCACCGCCGCTCCTTCACATGCCCAGACGCTCACGTGACACCACGGTAAGCGAAATATCTTGTTGTCAAACAGAACCGCACGATCACCACTCAAACGGTGTTAAACGCGCACCCGAGCAAAAAAAGCAGCGTCCATCCAAACGGCACTGTGCCGATGATGCACACACAGCTGCCCGGCGCTCACCGGCTCACATCGGGATAAATGTGGGACCGCAGGCCGGGTCCGGTGGAGGTCCCCGCTCTCAGCAAAAACAACACACGTTTTCCCTGAATAAACGCGAACAGCCGTCATCCATCGCGCCTCTGCGACCAGCAGCTCACGGCGACATAAGCGTGAGACAGCTGACTGAATCCAATGACGGGCCCCGCCCTCAGCGAGAGCGGCGCGCGTCCCTCCAGAGAAAACGTGCGCTCCCGCGAAGTTCACAACCTTCACTTCGACAGCACGGCGTTGACGACGTCACACCCTCCACCTCTCAACGTTCGCACAGCGACGTTAAACGTGCAGCCTCTGGACGTCACCAGCTGACACACGCCTCGCCTCAGCGCACACCGCCCCGCCCGGACATGAAGGTTGGTCCGCGATCCAGTCACAGCGCACGGGCGCGCGCAGAACAGCCCTTTCGAGAAAGCCTCGCCTTGGGTCACGCGGAAAACATTTCCGCGACGCATGACGGCGGTCGAGGCGGAGGTTTGGATGACATCCGTTCAAAACACGGCACATCATTTAAACGCACGTCCACTCCACGAACGTCACGCAGAGTGGTTAAAAACATGCTCACCGGACAGATGGATGGACAGAGTGTTATGCAAGGGTTACACGCTGCAGTTTGCAACCCGACCCCCTCCGTTCGGAGGAGTTATAGAGACGGTCCTGTCATCACCAGACCAAATCTCAGCCTTAAATGCAGAAGTCCAAGAGCTTCTGATAAAAGGTGTAATCTCAAGAGTTCCCAACGAGGAGGAAAACACAGGGTTTTACTCACGCTACTTCCTGGTCCCCAAAAGGACCGGAGGGATGAGACCGATTCTGGATCTGTCAGCTTTCAACAAAGCGATCATGAACAGACCCTTTCACATGTTGACGAACAGACAGCTGTTGGACAACATCCAGAAAAACGACTGGTTTGTTTCCATCGATCTAAAAGATGCTTATTTTCACATACCAATCATCCCAAAACACAGAAAATTTCTGCGTTTCGCCTTTCAAGGGATGAAGTACCAGTACAACAGGCTGCCTTTCGGGTACTCCCTCGCGCCTCGTACGTTCTCAAAGTGTGTGGAGACAGCCCTGCATCCACTGCACAGAGCAGGGATGAGAGTTTTGTTTTACCTGGACGACCTGCTGCTCCTGTCTCACTCCAGACAGGAAGCATTGATACAGGCTCAGGTGTTGACGTCACATCTGCTAAATCTGGGTTTCGCCATAAATTGGAAGAAAAGCTCGATTCTCCCGGCCCAGACAATTGTTTATCTGGGAGTGGAATTAAATTCAATTACCATGACGGCTCGCTTATCACAAACAAGAATCGACACTCTAAAAAACCAATTACGCCACGTAAGACCTGGCAAAGTGGTAACAGCTGTCTCCGTCATGAAGCTGTTGGGAATGATGTCATCAGCTCACACAGTGGTCCCGCTGGGTTTGTTACACATGAGGCGCCTCCAGAGGTGGTTTACGCGTCTGCGTGTGGATCCAGTAAAACAAAAGAGACGGATAATCACTGTCCCTCCCTCCGTGAGAGCAGACCTCCGACATTGGGGAAACACCCTGGCTCTGTCAGAGGGAGTCCCCGTCAGCAGACCCACGTCACATGTGTCTGTCTTCACGGACGCGTCTCTGTCAGGTTGGGGGGGGACATGCCTATCTCAAGCAGTAGGGGCGCTGTGGCCCCACCGCACATCAGCCCACATCAATGTTTTGGAGTGTCGCACAGTGCTGAATGTGATTCAGCATTTTGCTCCCGTGCTACAGAATCAACACGTGTTGATTCACACAGACAACATGGTGACTGCTGCGTACATAAACCGCCAGGGGGGTGTGCGTTCAGCCCAGATGTTACACATTGCACGGAAGCTACTGTGTTGGGCTCACCAAAATCTGCTTTCCATCAGAGCGGTTTACATACCCGGCGTTCTGAACAGAGGAGCAGACGTGATGTCCAGGGGCGGTCCACGTCACGCGGACTGGACCCTCCATCCAGACCTGATGTTTCAGACGTGGCAGAAGTTTGGCAAAGCAGCTGTGGACCTGTTTGCGACGCGAGAGAACGCTCAGTGTCAGTTATGGTTTTCCCTGAGCCCTCGAGACGATCCACCGCTGGGGGTGGATGCATTTGCCCACAGCCCGTGGCCCAAAACGCTTCTGTACGCGTTCCCTCCTCCTCCTCTGATTTTACGGTTCCTGAACCGAGTTCAGGAGGAGGGACTGACAGCTCTCCTGGTAGCTCCCGAGCGCGTGAACGCACCATGGTTCCCGGTCCTGCAGCGTCTGTTGTCAGGTCGCCCGTGGAAACTACCATGGAGGGAAGATGCTCTCCTTCAAGCAGGAGGAGCGATCAGGAGTTACCCGGAAATAGGCCAGCACCTGTGGGTCTGGCCGCTGAGCGGTCCCGCTTAGAGAGGATGGGTCTCCCTCAGGAGGTAGTGCGCACAATTCAAGATTCACGTGCTGCATCTACCACAGCCCTGTACACATCAAAGTGGACGGCTTTTCAGAGTTGGTGTACAGAGAAAGGTTTGGAAGCCACCTCATGTCCATTAGGTGGCGTGCTGTCCTTTCTTCAACAGCTGATGGATAGGAAGTTGGCGTTCAGCACGATTAAAACGTACGCGGCAGCCATCTCTTCCTGCCACGAAGGGTTCGGGGACAGAACAGCTTTTAACCACCCGCTGATGAAGCGGTTTTTAAAAGGTGTACAAAGACATAGACCGGTTTCACGCCCACTCGTTCCACAGTGGGATTTAACACTGGTCCTGCGAGCCCTGATCAAAGCTCCTTTTGAGCCTCTGGATCAAGTTTCACTGAAATTCCTGTCTCTGAAAACAGCCCTGCTGCTGGCTTTAACATCCGCTAAGAGGGTGAGTGATTTATCTGCCCTCTCTGCCGCTCCGTCATGTCTCAGAATCCAGGCTGACGGTAGTTCAGCTGATTTAAGACCAAACCCAGCCTTTATGCCTAAAAGCATCACGAGCTCTTTTAAATCGAGACAGATATCGTTGGAGGGATTCTTCCCTCCCCCCCACAAATCAGAAGAAGAAGCATCTTTTCATCTTCTCTGTCCGGTGCGGGCGTTATCGTGTTACATAGCGCGCACAGCTGCAATGCGTCAAACTCAACATTTGTTTGTGCATTATAGAGATGCATCCGCAGGCCGCCCGTTATCCACCCAGCGCCTGTCACACTGGCTGTGTGAGGCCATTTCTGAAGCCTACAGAGCATCAGATCTAGAGCCTCCTGTCAACCTCAAAGCACACTCAACCAGGGGTATCGCATCTTCGACTGCTCTGCATAATGGTATGTCAATGCAGGACATTTGCACTGCGGCTGCATGGTCATCACCCTGCTCATTTATTCGCTTTTACCTACGTGATGTAACGGCTCGTTCCATGACACATTCTGTCCTTAGTGCTTTAACAGAATGAATATTGTTGTTCTCATGGAACTCTGTTTTTTAAGCTCACATCTGTCTGCATGCATTACAGTGTGAGATGTTGTTATCAGCCACAAGTTGTGTCTGTGATTCGGTTCTATTGTCACTAATCAGTTCATGACTATTGTTACCAATCAGTTCATTTGTTCAATAATCAGTTCATTGACATTAATCTGTTTATACTGTTCAATCATGAATCAGTTGCTTCATG